CAGAAGGTCCCCCCTGAGCCTCCTTTTCTCCAGGCTGAGCCCCCCCAGCTCCCTCAGCTGCTCCTGCTGCTCCAGCCCCTTCCCCAGCTCCGTTCCCTTCCCTGCACACGCTCCAGCCCCTCAATATCCTTCTTGTTTTGAGTGGCCAGGAACAAAACACAGCAAACTGAGTTCCTTCACCCTTTTTTTCCCCACCCCAGTGCAGGATAGAGCTCTCCTGGTGCCCGAGAAGCACATCCAGAGGATCCCAGCCATGCACCTCCAGCAAGCAGCAAGCCAAGCCCACGGAACTGCAGAGGCTGGTCAGGCTGACCAAGGAGAACAGTTGAGAAAGAGGAGCCAGAAAACAGCAGAAAGGAAGGACAGCAGCCAAGGAGGCTGCCAAGAGGGGAAAATCCAACCAAAAACCACGGTGTGCACAGACTGAGAAGGCAACACGGACGAAGACAGGGAGGGAAAACACACAAAACCTTCAAAGAGCACTGGGAAAAGTATTTATGGAAGGAAAAAGGGTGGGTATGTGGGGCAGAAGAGCTTTTGCTGGGCAGGACAGTGAGGGTTTTATAAAAACCTTTTGGTTCAGAGGGAGAGAGGAAAACCAGGGCAGAGACAAAGCCCTGGCTGCTGGTGACACTGCTGTCCCTGTGCTGGCTCTGGGTGGAGGGTCTGACCCTGCACTGTCCTCCCCAAGCCTCCCTTGAGCTGTGGGAGGACAACAGGGGTGACACTGGTGGGGGGCACCTGGCAGGAGCAGGGCAGGGGATGCCACAAATAGTTGTCCCAGGGATTGGTGCTCCAGCGTGGCTCCAGGGATGTGCTGCACGTGGAAGTGGAGCAGGGAAGGAGCAAAAACCAGCTCTATGTCCCCCTGTGAGGGTTTAGTTTTATCATCAGCTGGAAGGAAGGGGGCAGCCCAAAGTGCAGCCTCACGCCACGGGCAAAACTCTGGTCTGAAGTTTGTATTTCTGTAGTTCTTTGATAACGTGTAAAATGAATGTGATCATCTCCAAGCTCAGAGAAATGTGGTGTTCAATCTGGCTTTGAGCTGTTTGACTTGAACCCACGGGCAAAAATTAAAGATGTCTTTAAAAAAGCCTTTTAAGAACAATCCATTCCCATGTAGCCAAAGTTCTGTGGATTTGTTCTGTAAATCAGACAAATTAAATGAGATACCAGCAAACTCAGAGGCTGGACAAGGGTCTGTCTGCTCTGCTGCTTTAGAACAGGGACACCACACTATGAAAACCAGCCCAAAGCCTTATTTAAAATGCTTATTTTAACACATGATCTTTTTATCCTCTTTTGGTTTTTTAATTGTACAAGATTTGAGGGGGGGGAATAAGGAGAACTTTATGTTTCTGGTACCACAGAGCAGAGCTGGGTGCCCACCTGCAAACACCTACTGCTGGTTTCAGCTCCATTCTAAGTCAGTGGAAACTCCCAGGGGCTGAATAATTGGATTTCTGTGGATAATTGGTGTCTCCAGACAGATGTTCATCTATCTACTCATCGATCTGAAGTAGCTGAAACCTGATCTAGTTGGGTTCCTTAAGCTGAGTTCAGTGGCCAGAAACAAATCAAAGGAAATACAGAAAAGCCACAGCTGCCTCATTTTAAGGGTATGTTTAATTTTCCTTTCATTTTAAATCCCAGTACACTGAGGGAGGATCTTTTAGGAAGCTGTGTCTGAATTCTTGCTGCTACATAAAGACAGACCCAGGTTTGGGTTTAGCTTGAGCCTCTTTAAAAAAAATCCTACTTTTTTGTGGTCACAGTTCAAAAACACAGCACAGGAGGAGCTGTTCGGATTTGGATCCATTGAACCAACCACAGTGGAGTGCAGGGATTGGATTTGGTGGTAGTGGAATGATGGAAACAGTGAAAAAACCCCCGTTGAGTTGGATGGATTCTCAATTCCACCAATGTGAGATGGTTGTAATCAACCTCCCGCTCTGAAACTGGGGGGTTCAATGATAAAAGCTTCCAAAGATCACCCTAAAAATGCAAATTTCCAGCCACCCTGTGAGTTTCTGGGGAGGGCTGCACGGCCTAAATTGGGTCTGCTCCACAACTTTGGCTCCAAGTGTCTCCACCTTTCCACTGTGTTCTCTGAGAGGCAGCACTTCGGGATAGAAAAGCATTTTTGTGGTCCAATTAAAAAAGTTCCTCCCAAACCAACAATAAGTTGGAGTGATTTCTTCATCTTACTGTCTGAAATGTTTGCTGTTACAGTAATTTCTTCCACGAGGGTGTTTAAGGAGCCCTTCTGGTGTTGTCTCTGTTTAATGGCTTGTTCACTCCTACAGCACTGCCTACTCTAATTACTCCAATCTAATTAAGAGGAGGAATAAACAACATACTACTGAAGGGCTAGAGAGACAAAAGAGCTGCAGGAAGATAAATGGGGATCTATTGGCGGGGTAATTTGCTCGTTAGCACCCTCCTTTCCCAAAATTAGCCTAAATGGAAGCAGAATGAGAGAGAAGAGAGAGAAACACTGAGAGAGAGCGCGAGCAGAGACATACTTAGAAAGACAAACTGATGTGCCATAGTTTCAAAGACCAGAAGAAGGTTACAAAAATAATATATATATATAAAAATAATAATAAAAAGCAGAAGATCCAAAATCCGGTCTGCTTGGAAAAGCAGAGGAAGCACCAGAAAAGAAGTCCAGAAGAACAACACCAATGGCACAGAAAACCAGCACCCACTTCAGCCACGGCACGAAAAGCTGGTGGTTTGGCAGGAGTTGGTGGGGAGGTTGGTCTACCTTATAGGCAACACGAGCAGGGCATTTCTTTCCAAGGCCTAGAGGTGGGGACATGTGTCTCAGCATCTCATACATGTCTGTGTAACTGATGCGACCGCTGGGAGCCACGGGGAGGGAGGCGAGAGCAGGACACGGGAATCAAAGCAGACCGGGTGGAGGAAAGGGGGGGGGGGGAGGGGGGGGGGGAAAAAAGGGGGGGGGGGGGAGGGGGAAAAAGGCAACACGGTGGAGCAAATGAAAAGGAGGAGAGAGAGAAAGGAAAGCAGACAAGAGAACAGAACAGAGATCTGGTTAATCAGATTTCTCAGGAGAACAGAACCAAAACGAAGAGGAGGGTGAGTAGGAAGGTTTTCTTCCGTTGCTGTTGTTTCAGCGCCCAACGTGTGCTCCTGGCGGCAGGGACAGCCCCCGGCAGAGCACGGGGGTCCCCGGGGGGAATGATTGATGGCTCTGCCCTGGGAGAGGCGGTGGGGAGGGCTGGGGGTTGGCTGGAGGGGTGGGGGAGGCTCCCCCTTCTCGCCCCCCAATCCAGAGGCTGGAGTTCACCATGCCAGGGAGGGCTGGCAGGCAGAGTTATGGGACAGGGAGAGAGACAGGGCTCCCAACACGCTCAGCTCTGGGATAAAAGGGGCAGCTTGCCTTCTGGGAACGAGGACTTGGGGATTTTAGGGAAGCAAAAAGCCAATCCTGGTGTGTTTGCTCCGGGACAGACCGGGAGGGCCAAGCCCAGGGTGTGACTCTGCCAACCCTGAGCCAGCCGGGATTTCTGCTCCAGCCTGAGCTCAGCTTTGGCAAAACCAGAGCCCAGCACTCAATTTTCAGGAGGGGGACCTGTTTTTCTCCCTTACATTTGGTGGGGCCCCTCTCTCATCAAGCCAACCTCTCTCATCAAAATCCCTGCTGGCTCCTTCCACCCTCCTTCATCCTCTGCTCTCCATCACTGCAGGAAATTCCTTGTGCTTCTCCTGGGCTGATTTCTTGGCCAGACAACTGGTTGTCTCCACCACCAAGGGCAGCTGTCCTGTTCCCAGTCCCAGGAGCTGGGAATGGCAGAGATTTGGGAAAAGGCCCTTAGGCCACCCCATTACTGAGGTCATCTACCTTCAGCACACGGTGGTGGTGGAATAGAACCCTGCCCTGAAAATCAAGGGGTGCAGAAGCAGCAGGGAGTTCTCCTCCTTCACCTTTTTCTAAGTGTTAAAATTGGGAACATGACTCTGACAATCTCATTTGGTTTTCCCAGCGAGCTGCCTGCTTATTAAAATGTGCAAATCTGTGCTGCCTGTCAGCTGAGGAGACCCAAGGATACTGCAGCATGTTATTAATTAAAGTTTAACCCCTGGAAAAGCAGGATTATCATCTCCTCTATCTCAAGAGGGCAAGCAAGACCTAAGCACCCCTATAAATCCCCTTTCCCAAGCAGGACAGCTACAGAGGCAGAACCTGCAGACCAGCCCAGTGTCCTGACATGGGTCTCAATTCCTGTATGAGGAGGAGGGGGTGGAAGAGAGAACCTACCCAGCCAAAAACATCTATTCCTGTCCTTGGTAACTGATGTAGTTAAAATACCACCCAGCTTTTATAGCCCAGAGCTCATTTAAAGGCTGCTGAGAGACACAAATTGTAATTGGAGCCAATGTCTTCCCCCGGCTCCTCTCCTGCTCCTGGGCTGGGGCTGTGGGGTCTCCTGCCTCCTCTGCAAAGCTTGGGAGCTCTTAATCCCCAGGCAGGTGTGGAAAACACCTGGGCTGAAGTGGAAGAGAAAGTCCATGCTGGCTGCTTCCACCCTCCTTCATCCTCTGCTCTCCATCACTGCAGGAAATCCCCTGTGCTTCTCCTTCATCTGGGCTGATTTCTTGGCCAGACCTGTCCTTAATTCCCCCCTTGAGCTCCCAGGCGTGGTTCACCTTCCCTGTGCCATGAACAGGAGGTTTCACTGGGTGTCCATCAGGGTTTGGGGTCATAATTTAGCCCCCAGGGCAACCTGTGGCTGTTGCACTGTGAGAAGCTCATCCCTCACCTCTCCCCACCTTGCTCTGCTGCCCAGGCAACCAGTGTCCAGATCCAATGTCTTTTGGGCTCAGGAGAGGGAAGGTTGGTCACTCAGCTGGAGTGACGATGCTACAAAACCCAGACAAAGTGGAACTGCCACTCCTTGGGGTGCCATTTCTCTCCGGTGTGTATATATATATATATATATATATATATATATATATAGTGCTGGGATGCTTTTCCCCAACACTTCCCCCCAGAGCTTTCAGGATGGGAGCTGGAGGGTTCACTGTCTCATAAAGCTGCCTGTCTCCAGCCAGCTGGGGTGTGGGAGTAGACAGGGAAGAGATGCATCGAGGACAAAGGAGGCAGTCAATCATTCCTTTTTTCAGGCAAGGGGTTAGTTATGGGACAGTTTCTTTTCTCTACTGCATTTGCACTCGGAGGGGGGTATAAAAAGAAACAAAACCAGGACTAAAGATGCTGCAGGGAGTCTCTGAAGTTCCAAACCTTGTATGCCACCCTATGAGGGCACTTCTTTCCTAAGCCCAGGGGTGGAGCAATTACACGTAACAAATTGTACATATCCTTATAATGAATCCGGCAACTGGAAAGGAAACGTCACAGGTTAGGGCAGCAAAAACCAGGAGCAATCAGCTTTTCCCCAGGAAAACAGGAGGAGTTGGAAGGGCAAAACGTGCTGTAAAGGAAGGTTAGTCCAGCAAAAATTGGGCTTGTGAGGAAGGAGCAACTTTAACACAGAGAGAGAGAGAGAACTTCCAGCTGCTCACCAAACTTTATATCCTTGGATTTTCTCCTGTGCAAGGCTTTACAACCACTTGGTTCCCTTTATCACTAATGTTTTGGTTCCCTTTATCACTAATGTTTTGGTTCTCTTTATTTAAAGTTTTAGTTCCCTGTGCCTGAGCATCTCCCTCCTCGCCACCCCCCAGCCAACCCAGAACCCACAGCACACAAAGAACTTCTTTAATGGGTTATTCCTGGGATTCAGAAGAGCTTGGGAAGCTTTACCTTCCACTATTTCCCTCCTACACAACCCCAGCAGGGCTGTTCTCTGGTTCAGGGGCACTGAACAACTCGCTGCAAGTCCAGAAATTCTCCTCTCAAAGGTTGATTTGGCTGTTGGCACTTGGGAAAATCCAAATATTGTTCCCAGCAGGTGAAATCAGACACCTCACAGTAGCTCTCTGGTCACTCTCATTAACTCCCAACAATATTTCCAGCTAATTTAACGGCAGGATTCCATTTCTTCACCTTTTGCAAGTAGCCAAACCATAGGCAAAAAGAGCTGAGCCTCCAAATTACCTCTGAAGAAAACTGAGATGATTTGGCTTCGCTGTGTTTATTTTGGTACTTCATATAAAGAAGGCTGGAATATTTTGGAATCTCTCCTTCAATATTACAGCTTTTCTGGATGGGGAAAAATTAAGGTCTATTCAAAGCCTTCCCAATCCACTCAAAACTATTAATTCAGGAACAGAGCAAATGGAACTGTGCAAGTCTTGGCTGGAGGCCTAAACGTGGTTATAAAAAGTATATTGGCTTAACTGAGTCAAGAAGTTGAGTTGACTTTACCTCCAATTTTGGAACGATTTTGTAAAATCAGGGTGTAGAAATGACGCCTGCCCAGTTCCCTGAGCTCTCTGAGAGCTCCTGCAAGGCTTGAAAACCAGCAGATGTTTTGCATTGGAAAGCACAAAATGAGGACAATCAGGGATTCTTTCCCAGGTTCGTGGAATCATGGAATGGTTTGGGGTGGAAGGGACCTTAAAGCCCCAACCTGCCACTATCCCAGGTTGCTCCAACCTGGCCTTGGACACTTCCAGGGCTGGGGCAGCCACAGTCTCTTGTTTAAATCTGATTTTGTTTCTTTTCCTCAGCATCCTTTTATCCCAGGAAGCCAAGAGAAAGCTCTCCCTTGGCAGCCCCTGCACCTCCTCCTCCCCACTGAAGGTGCTTCCAGCAGCATCTCCCTCTTTGGGACAACTCCTGGGAATGGGATGGCCAGACCAGTATTCCCAGTATCTCTAAGGGGTGTGCAATGGGAAGGTATAACAGAGATAAAGTCCTCACTTTATATATGTTGAACACATTAAAGCTCTTAGAAATCCAATTTTCTTTGGTTTTGTCCAGTTCATCCTTAAATCCTGTGTTTTCACTCCTTTCCTGATTAACTCCCAGCCCCCCCAAACCACCCTGGATTCCTTTATTTTTCTCTCTCTGTTTTTCTTTGAGCCCAAGGCTTTTACCACCCCTAAATCCAAGAGTTTCCCCATACTTACCCCTCCAGAGTGTGACACATCTAGAAAAACAGCTGCTAAATGCCTTTTTAAATTCCTTTTGAATGCTTTTCCCCAGAAAAGTTTACAGAAAGTAGGATTTTGTAACAAAACCAAAGGTGATATAAGAAATAGAGATGTAAATATGCATTTTTAAATGTTTAAAATATTATCTATATAATAAAAATATAACAACACTTGTGCTTTTCAACCATGCAGCATCTTTTGTAGAAGGATCTTAATCTGTGGGAAGTGGACAAACACTGTAATTCCCTTTTTCTTTTTTGGGACAATCAAAGAGGAAACCTTGAGAGAGGTGATCAGTGAGTGACCAATTCAGCCCAAATCACAGAATCATCAAACCACAGAATGATATCAGTTGGAAAAAAACCTCTGAGATCAGAAAGATGGGGAAGATCTTAGATCAGAATGATTAAAAGATTAATTCTGGCCTTAAACTGCGAAGGGCTTTTAAATTGTGGGAATTTTAGTCCCACTTCTGAAAATGTCAGTGATTTCAGTGGAACTGTTCACACTCTGCCAGCATCAATAACGTCCCACCAGAGCATAAAAGGGAGCGAGGTTAGAGAAAAGCAGAAAATTGGATGTTAATAAATGACATATTCTGCATTAACAGCTCGGGAAGTGAAAAGGTTTGGCCCCTGAGTGACTCACAAAATGTGAAGTCTCTGCTCTGAGTTAATGGAGCGAGAAATCCTCTCTGTAAACTTCATATTTGTGCCTCCGATGGGTGGAAAGTTCCCGAACGCAGGAACATTAAAAAAAACCCACGTTGCTCCTCATTTTTTCCCTTGCAGGTGTGTTACTCCTCCCACAGACCTTCAGCAGAGCCAAGGCTGTTTTTTTGAGGAGCAAACAGGCACTCCCCAAGTTTTCAGTCTCATTAAGAGATAGGATTGGTTTGGAAAAAGGAGGGGAAAAAAAAAAAGCTATTTAGTGCCTGCCAAATACCCACAAAGGATTGTCTGTGTTCCAGAGCACGTGCTGGTGAAAACCTGCTTGGAGATGACAAGCTGTGAGTAAATGTGGAGTATATTCAGGCTGGGAGTAGGGATGGCTTTGAGGTGGTTAAAATCACCCACAGCTCAGAGAAACGCAGGCATTTTGGGGTAGGTTTACATTTAAAGTTGCCCTAAATCATTTAAACTGAGGTTTTTAAGCAGTTTAATTGCATCCTAGCAGGGAGTTTGAGATGCTGATTATACAAACACTTTTCTGCATCTGTCTCAGCTGAAGGGAAAAAAAAAAGGAGAGGGGAAAGATTGGAGGAGCTGGAGGAATTAAAAATACAGAGGAGATTCATTGCAAAGTAGCTCATGGGGAGGCGAGTGGAGAAAAATTAGTAGAGCTTTAAATTAAAAAAAGAAGTCTCCCAACAGGCAAATTCTCCGGGTGCAGAATATCAAGGAAATTCCTGTGACCTGTGACAGAGCATCTAGAAATGAGAATACCACAGTCCCCAGGGCTGATGGGCAGCAGCTCCTTGTGGGCAGTGCAGAAAAGCAATGTATTAAATCAGTCTTGCTCTAGAAGTGGTCACAGATCAGGGCTATTCCCTCAAATTTAAAAAATTCCTTAAAATCCTTTCTTTGTTAACTCTGGGATCCATCCCAAACCTGTGCCACGGGTGTGAAACTTTCCCTTTCCACAAACTAAACCCTTCCCTGTGTGCAGGAACCATCCCCTCCTTGAACACACCCAGACATCGGGAACATTTTCTCAGAGGCTCGTTGGGAACCGAAATGCTTCCAACCTTTGGCTCGTTTCCTTTCTGATTATTTCACATCTTCTGTTTCAACTGCGAGTCTAAAAGCTGAAATCTCATTTAGAAGACTGAAGTTCCCTCATACAGTTTGATGTCATTAGAAGGGGGCTTCCAAGAGCAGAAACGTTGGGATTAATGAGCAATGGCTGTTTTTAAAAAAATCCCATGTTTTCAGGAGGAACACCCTGCTGGGGAGTGGGTGGGCAGAGGCAGGTGACGGAGTCGGAGCCTGCAGAACTTGACTCAGATGTGACACATCCTCTGCCGTGGCCTGAGGGATCTGCACAGGATTTGGGAAACCATTAAGGTGGTTCTCAGCTAGAGAACCCCTGCACAAATGAGGTGTGACAGGGCAGAGCCTCTCCCACCGCCACAAAGCGCTGCCAACAGCGAGAGAGCTGCGTGGTTTTATCTCCAAACTGGGATGCAGAAACCAAAGGCAATGAATTAACAGCTTGTCTACTTGGCAATTTGGATTTCCCCTGGTAATTTTTGGCTGTGTGGGGAGGGGGGTGGGTTTTGCTCTCGTGGCTGGTTGGGTTGTGTCTGCTTGAAGGAAACTCCATTTTAATGACATCAGGTTTGTTCATCTCCGCTGCAGTTGGAGCGTTTAGCACCAGTGTCACCTTGGAGTTGTTTTCCTTCTGGAGTTGTAACTCCTTAAAAGAGGCTCTGTGTGTGTACAGGTACAATATTTACACCCCAGTGTGTCCTTCTGTCCCCCAGCAGGGTCAGTGTGTACGTACCAGGCAGCGGGGTCGTACTCGGCCCACACACGGACAAACTCATCCAAGTGGTGAGGCCCCAGGATGGAGGAGTCCCTTGTCAGGTATTCAAAGTTGTCCATGATCACAGCCACAAACAGGTTCAACATCTGCAGAGAGGGAGCAGGAATGCAGTCAGGGAAGGGGGAAGGGAAGGGG